GGCCAAGCCGCAGGCTTATCATTGAGCATACCAGCATCAGCTGGCCAAGCCCCAGGCGCATCATCAGCATCAGCAACCCAGGCCGGAGCATCAAGAGCATCAGCCAGCAAAGCCCGCGCATCATGAGCATCAGCTGGCAAAGCGCGTGAGCATCAGCCGGCAAATTTTATGATTGAGCGTACCAACCAGGCCGGAGCATCATGGAGCAGCCGGCAAAGACCGCGCATCATGAGCATCAGCTGGCAAAGCCTGTGAGTATCAGCCGGCAAAGCCCGCGCATCATGAGCATCAGCTGGCAATGCTCGTGAGCACCAGCTGGCCAAACCACAGGCGCATCATCAGCATCAGCAACCCAGGCCGGAGCATCATGAGCATCAGCCGGCAAAGCTCGCATCAGCTGGCAAAGCTCGTGAGCATCAGCTGGCCAAGCCCCAGGCTTGTCATTGCGCATAGCAACCCAGACCGGAGCATCATGAGCATCAGCCGGCAAAGCCCGCGCATCATGGCGCGTCATCAGCATCAGCATCAGGGCAAAGCCCGTGCATCATGAGCATCAGTTGGCAACGGGCTTGGCCAGCTGATGCTCACGGGCTTTGCCAGCTCAGCCGGCTGATGCTCATGCTCCGGCCTGGGTTGCTGATGCTCATGATGCGCCTGGGGCTTGGCCAGCGAAGCTTCCAGAAATCGCAAAGCATGGGGCGAGAGCCCAAACCCTAAACCTTGAGTGCACCCACCCAATCCCTAGAATCCAATCCTAAAGCATCAAACCCTACAACCCCAAACCCCAAACCCCAAACCCGAAACCCTAAACCCTAAACCCTAAACTTCAAACCCCAAACCCCAAACCCTCAACCCTAAACCCTAAACCCCAAACCTAGCCGCACCAGCCAGGTGCGGCTGTGGGACCTGGAGACCTCGGCCTGCGCGGCGGTTCTCAAGGAGGGTCTTCGGCTTGCAGGGGTTTAGGAGGTTTAGGGTTGTAGGGTTTAAGGGGTGTATGGATTGTTTTAGGGTTTAGGGTTGCAGGGTTTAGGGTTTAGGGTTGTGGGGTTTAGGGTTTGGGTGTTGAGGGTTGTAGGGTTTCAGGGTTTGGGGTTGTAGGGGTTTAGGTTTTGGGCTTGAGGGTTGTAGGGGTGTAGGGTTTTAGGTTTCAGGGGTAGGGTTGTAGGTTTTTTTTGGGTTTGGGGCTACAGGGCCTCGTTGATAGCCCTGATTCCACCAGTACCACCACGTTTCTCGCATCACCCACCAAAATGTTAAACCCTAAGCCCTAAATCCTTTCACCTGGGTATACCGCACCCTAACCCCCAAAACACCTCAGTCCTAAACTCTTCCCTACCCTGGCTTTGACGCTTGCGGCTTTCACATCCTGGCCAGGACCACCTGGCAAGCATCTCATCGATGTGCTTCGGTGCGACCGGCTCAGGGTTCAGGGTTTAGGGTTTAGGGTTTAGGGTTTAGGGCTCCGGGTGGCCCAATACACCCCAGAAAATATTATAATGAAAAGAGCGTATTTTGCCGAGGTTACAAGAACTCCTTTTAATGGTGGATTTACTGTACGGGCTAGCGAAAACACCATTCATATTTTTAATTCGTTCATGTCATTCACTCCGTTCACTTATAATATAGTACGTTTTATCCGCGGGCAAGTTACGTACAGGATTAAAAGGAGAAGATAAAACGAATGAATCTTGGATTTCTTATTTAGTTAGTTCGTGAAGATATTAATAGTAATAGTAATAATTCCTAATAAAAGACCATATTATTCCTCACTTAAAAGGGCTTTACCTTGAGGACTTATTATCTTCCCCTTAAAGAGCCCATTTTCTATCCCAAGAGCACCATTAATATAATAATAAGAAGTGAGTGTATGAATAAATGAGAGACAAAAGACGTCCTTTGTTCCTTTTCATCTTTCGTTTCACTTCGTTCACAATATAATCATTACGTTCTCAATAGGATTTCCAAAGAATTATTCAATTGATAACCCGAAAGCCCGAAAAGCCGAAAGCTGGAAACCCTAGCGCCCCAAGCCGCTGACCCGCACAAGTCCTAAAAAGCCTGATCGCCCAATAACCCTAAAGACATCTAAAGCCCTAAAGTCCTGAAGCCCTGAAACCCAAACCCTGAACAAGAACCCGTAAAGACCTAATCTTTCAGCCAAGGCCTGCAACTCTGAAACCCTGAAGCCCGAAAGGCCCTACAGATCCTACCAAGCCTCACAGTCACGCGTTCAAAACATCCGAAAGCCCCTTCAAGCTCCAGCAACCCTTCTAAGACCTGAAAGCCCCCCACGAATCTCCATAACCCTCAACCCAAAAGCCGTCAGCCCCACAACTCTGCAACCACAAATCCCCCCTAAACCTTAAACCCCAAATCCCCTAAAACCCCGAAACCCTAAACCCTAAACCCCAAGCCCTAAACCCTAAACCCCAAAATCCCCTCAAGGAAAGCCCCTGAAAGTGCTTGCCAGGCAGTGTCCGGTCCAAGCTCTACCAGCTCGTGACTGGGGGCCGGGACCAGGAGCTCCACCCCCCGACCACTAGATGCCTTTAATCTGGGGGGGGGGGGGGGTTGGGTTTAGGGTTTAGGGTTTAGGGTTTAGGGTTTAGGGTTTAGGGTTTAGGGTTTAGGGTTTAGGGTTTAGGGTTTAGGGTTTAGGGTTTAGGGTTTAGGGTTTAGGGTCTAGGGTTAAGGGTGTAGGGTTTAGGGTTTAAGGCTTAGGGCTGAGGGCTAAGGGCTTAGGGTTTAGGGTTTAGGGGTCAGGGTTTAGGGTTTCGGGCTTAGGGCATAAGGTTTAGGGTTGAGGGGTTTAGGGTTAGGGTTTTGGGTTTAGGGGTGTGGGGTTCAGGGTTAAGGTCTAGGATTTAGGGCTTGGGGCGCGTCACATGCTCCGCGCGCACCAGCACGCCGGTGTTGTGGTGTGCGCAAGGTTCACGTTCCCCCCCAACCCGCCCACCCAACCTGCGACCTCGGTCGGGTTAGGGGTATTACATATATTATTATTATTATTATTATTATTATTATTATTATTATTATTATTATTATTATTATTATTATTATTATTATTATTATTATTATTATTATTATTATTATTATTATTATTATTATTATTATTATTATTAATAACATATATTAACTTTGAACCCATCGAAGGTTGGGGCACGGTCTGCCGCAGGTGCCATGGAGGGCCTTTCTGAGGCAAAGGGGCTCCCAAGAAGAGCGCCAACCCACTACAAGAAATGCGGTATCTGATGACTTGACTTCTTTTTAGTCCAAGACAACCCCATGAGAGACCGAATGATTGTCGCGGTCCGACCCAAGGTTTAGGAGTTTAAGGGGTTTAGGGTTTAGGGGTTTAGGTGTTAGGGGTTTAGGGGTTTAGGGCACACCGGCCTTGCACGGCCAGCTGACGGAGCTCCTTCGTTGCGACTGTCGCGACAACTTTGGAGTGGCAGGGCTGTCGCCACCTGCACGCTCGCTGCTGCTCACCGCAGCACCAGCAGCTCGCTTCAGTTTAGGGTTTCGTGTGTAAAGAACACGGCCGAGCCGCACCTTTGCAAATCTCTCGCCGGTTGAGGGTCCCTAAGCCCTAAACCATACTCCCCTGGCGTCTCTAGGTTTAGCATGGTCAAAAAGGGTTTTGGGGTTGAGGCTTTGGGGGTTTAGTTGGGTTTAGGGTTGAAGGTTTATGAGTTTATAGCTTGGGGTTGAGGTTTAGGGTTGAGGGGCTGAGGGTTGAAGGCTTGACTCACTGGCAAGATTCCTCTTGAAGTACCTCGAACGGCTTCACCCTGAACTCTCGACCGTCAAATTCAATTACTACTGATGATCCTGTGGAATCCTTGCAAAAAACTAGTGTAGAACGAGCCCATTCTAATCAAATCGGCCCCGCCGTGAAACTTGAAGTATGCATGGAGTATGTTGAAGACCTAGATTCTATCTGCAATGCCGGAGTAGACCCAAACAAAAACCCTCACCAACCCACATGCAAGGGCAGTTGCCGAGCAAGCTGGGGCAGGTCGTTAACGTCTGGAATCTCGAGGGCAAGTGCTCTCTCGCGCTCTCCGGCAGCAGCTCCATTAAGGCTTCGAGCCCGAAACGCCAAGAAGCCCCCCACGAACCCCATACCCCAACCCCCAACCCCCAAAACCCTAAAACCCCAGTGCCTAGTCATACACCCTAAGTCCTCCTAAAGCCCCCCTCCAACCGCCAGAAGGATTGTGCGGGATCGCTCGACTATGGCTGAAGCACCCTGAGCTCCAGCCAAAACTGCTAAGATCCTTCGGTTCCGGCTCTTTGTAAAAATTTTGTGGGGGGGGGGGGTTAAGGATTCTGGAGGATTTAGGGTTGGGGTTGGGAGTCGAGTGTTTGTGGCTCTGGGCATCTCAGGGTTTAGTTTCTTCGGAGTGAGGGCATTCAGGCTTTAGGGCTTAGGGGTCTTCCGGGCTTGGAGGTGGCTCCGGGTTTCAAGTTTGAGGGTTTTGGGGCTTCATGTCCAGTGTCCGCCTGGGTTCGTTTAGGATTTGGGGCTTAAACCTTCAACCCTAAAGCCTGCAGCCCAGGCGTTCCATCCCGGTGGCAGCCCCGGATTTCGGCGGGCTTTTGGGATTCCATGAAAACTCTTGGAGCTAAGTTTAGTTTTTTTTGGGTATCGGAGGGGGGGGGGTGGAAGGGTGTGTTGGTTGAGAGTATTCGGATGTTTGCAGTAACGGTCTTCAGGTCCTCAAGTCCTTGGTCTGGAGGTTTGACCTTGTGCATTTTGATGCCCTAAGCGTCCACAGCTTCTGCATGGTGGTGGCATGCTTTTCGCAGTTCTCGCAGGGCCCGAACGTTCGCACTTGTGGCATTGACGAGAAGCCGGTGGTGCCTTGATCCTAAGCCTCTAGACAACTGGGCCGATAATCACCCCCCTTCTCCGCTACCCAGAACGCCAGAGCAACAAATTAATATGTTCGACTAATCTGAGCCCCAATTGCTAAAGCACTAGCCCTGCTAGCATGAGCTTTCAGGCTTTAAGGGAATGGTGGATTCAAAAGTGGACACGTCCACTGGCCCAGGTGTTCGAGAACGTCGAGGGCGTTGTCGCCGTGCGCTGGCCCTGTGTTGCGTGGCCTTAGGAGGTTTAGGGTTTAGGGTTTAGGGTTTAGGGTTGCGATTTTTTGGGGCTTAGGGTGAAATAGAAGCCTTGGGGATGAGTGGGTTCCGGGTTTCCTGGCTGCCAGGATGTGGTTGAGTTTTGGGCCGCCCCGCATAAAAGTTGACGGCGAAAGCCAACGGTTCGATCGCCGCGGGGTCGAGGAGGAGCAACTTGTAGTGGTCAACAAATTGCCCCCCGAAAGGCCACCCTCGCTTGGTGCTCCGGAGCGATTCCGCCACCTGTTGGACTGACAGAGGTCAAGGTCAAGCCTGATGCCCGAAGGCGGCCCATTTAAGGCGCAGGCAGTGAAACAATCAAATGCGACGACTAATTGCGCGGCTCATTGCTTTGTAACGAAATGAATGAAATCATCTGTTTGTCGTAACCACCATTTTGAATCAACAGCTGCGGACTTCCAATTTCCCAATTGACGCCAACGACAATACATCATGAGTGCATACTGACAGAGTGATGGCCTATGATGGCCTCATATTTCAACACGCTCAAACGCCCTAAACCAAACCCTAAACCCTAAACCCTAAACCCTAAACCCTAAACCCTAAACCCTAAACCCTAAACCCTAAACCCTAAACCCTAAACTCCATAAACCCTAAACTCCATAAACCCTGAACCCTAAACCCTGCTTTGCAGCCAGATTCCAACGAAGAGATTACGGCAGCAGTGCCAGGCACCCAGCAGATGTAGGCCCCCTTCACAGGCGTGTCTGCGGTAGGAGGAGCAACAGCCCTGGCTACCATGTTCAGAGGCTGATCTTGTCGGGGTTTAGGGTGAGGGCCGACAGTAGGGACACCAGCTATCAGGAGCAAAGGCTGCCGACTGACGTGGCACTGAAAGTCACTGATGTGGGGATTTTCGAAAATAGGGACTCCAAAAATAGACCACCAAATAGGAGGATTCCCCTACAAGAAGGACCCCAATAAGGTACGCCTAAGGTTACCTCTAATTTCGGAAACCCCCATATCAGAAGCCCTTGTTGCTTTAGCGCGCTGATGTCCGTTGGGTGTCTAGCTCGCAGCTGCCAGCACCTTTCAATCGCTTCTCGCCCCTCCTCGCTTGCCCGCCATGCGTGAGCTCGTGCACGTTCAGGGAGGACAGTGGCCAGCTGCAACAAGCATCCTGTTCCCCTTGGTTGGTTGAGGGCTCCCGCTTAAAGCGCTGCCTTCGTCTTCTGAACTGGCGAACTCTAAGCCCTCAAATCCTCAGCAACCCTAGGCACGAAATCATCAACCCTCAAACCCTAAACCCCTAAAGCTAACCCTAAACCCTGACACCCTAAAACCCTGAAACCCTAAAGACCCAAAACCCTAAAACCCTTGTGAAACCCTACCTAAGGCCCCAAAGCTTACCCTAAACCCTGAAATCCTAAAACCATATAGAGTCCCTAAGCCCTAAAACCCTAAACCCAGCTCTCCCCAAACCCTGAAACCCTAAAACCATGTAGAGGCCCTAAACCCTAGAACCCGAAACCCCACACCCAAAAGCTTTAAGCCCTGAAGCCCCAAAACCCTAAAACCCCAGGGAAGAGTCCCTAAGCCCGAAAACCCTAAACCCCAAAACACAAAAGCTCTCCCCAAACCCTGAAACCCTAAAACCATATAGAGGCCCTAAACCCTAAAACCCTAAACCCCAAAACACAAAAGCTTTAAGCCCTGAAGCCCCAAAACCTTAAAACCCCAGGGAAGAGTCCCTAAGCCCGAAAACCCTAAACCCCAAAACACAAAAGCTCTCCCCAAAACCCTGAAACCCTAAAACCATATAGAGGCCATAAACCCCAAAACCCGAAACCCCACACCCAAAACCTTTAAGCCCTGAAGCCCCAAAACCCTAAAACCCCAGGGAAGAGTCCCTAAGCCCGAAAACCCTAAACCCCAAAACACAAAAGCTCTCTCCAAACCCCTGAAACCCTAAAACCATATAGAGGCCCTAAACCCTAAAACCCTAAACCCCAAAACACAAAAGCTTTAAGCCCTGAAGCCCCAAAACCCTAAAACCCCAGGGAAGAGCCCCTAAGCCCGAAAACCCTAAACCCCAAAACACAAAAGCTCTCCCCAAAACCCTGAAACCCTAAAACCATATAGAAGCCCTAAACCCTAAAACCCGAAACCCCACACCCAAAACCTTTAAGCCCTGAAGCCCCAAAACCCTAAAACCCCAGGGAAGCGTCCCTAAGCCCGAAGACCCTAAACCCCAAAGCGCAAAAGCTCTCCCCAAACCCTGAAGCCCTAAAACCATATAGAGGCCCTAAACCCTAAAACCCGAAACCCCAAAACACAAAAGCTTTAAGCCCTGAAGCCCCAAAACCCTAAAACCCCAGAGAAGAGTCCCTAAGCCCGAAAACCCTAAACCCCAAAACACAAAAGCTCTCCCCAAAACCCTGAAACCCTAAAACCATATAGAGGCCCTAAACCCTAAAACCCGAAACCCCAAAACACAAAAGCTTTAAGCCCTGAAGCCCCAAAACCCTAAAACCCCAGGGAAGAGTCCCTAAGCCCGAAAACCCTAAACCCCAAAGCACAAAAGCTCTCCCCAAAACCCTGAAACCCTAAAACCATATAGAGGCCCTAAACCCTAAAACCCGAAACCTCAAAACACAAAAGCTTTAAGCCCTGAAGCCCCAAAACCCTAAAACCCCAGGGAAGAGTCCCCAAGCCCGAAAACCCTAAACCCTAAACCCTAAACCCTAAACCCTAAACCCTAAACCCTAAACCCTAAACCCTAAAACCTTTAAGCCCTGAAGCAACCCCCCCAGGTGCGGAAACCAGATCGGAGCCAAGTTCTGGGAGGTGGGCCTTTTGAGAAACCCTAAGCCTCAAACCTTAAACCCTAAACCCTAAACCCTAAACCCTAACCCTAAACCCTCAACTGGAGAGGGTTTTCAGGTTTCAGGGTTTGAAGGGTTTTAGGGCTTTCAGGGTTTTTTCAGGGTTTGATGGTTTGAGGGCTTGAGGGTTTGAGGGTTTGAGGGCTTGAGGGTTTGAGGGTTTCAGGGTTTTAGGGTTCAGGGTTTGGAGCCCTGGGTCTAGGGTATATTTTTGGGACCCTAGACCCAACACAACCCCAAACCCTCAACCCTAGACCCTAAACCTTAAACCCCAAACCCTAAACCCTAAACCCTAAATCCTAAACCCTAAGCCCTAAAGCCCAAACCATCAACTGCCCAGGTGATTGCCGACGAGCACGGCATTGACCCCACCGGAACCTACCATGGCGACTCCGATCTTCAGCTGGAGCGCACCCTGGTCTTTAGGTAGGAGCGGGGTTTTGGGTTTAGGGTTTAATTTGGGTTTAGGGTTTAGGGTTTAGGGTTTAGGGTTTAGGGTTCAGGGGTAGGAGGGCCTAGGCAGGACCTTGGGTTACGCTACATGATCTCTTTAAAAAGGCTTAGTCGTAGAGTTGACAGGGTCGCTTAGCCCTAAACATCTTTTATTTTTTTGATTTTGTGTGTGTGTGTGTGTGTGTGTGTTAATATGAAGAGGAGGCTCGGATTCTCTCGCGCTTCCACCCTGGGGTTTTAAGTTAGTTCCTGAGCCCTCAACCGCTCAACCCTCAAACTCAAGGATCTAAACCCAGCCCAGGCATCAACGTGTACTTCAATGAGGCGACAGGTGGACGCTATGTGCCGCGTGCCATTCTCATGGATCTCGAACCAGGTGTGGGCCCATGATGCCTTCAAAGTTGGCCTTAGGGCTCGGGGATGTTCAGGGTTTCGGGGGACGTGGTCGGGTGCTGCCTTGTGTGGTTGCATGCTGTCGCCAAACTCACTCTCTCTCTCTCTCTCTTCTTCCTCTGTGTGCATGTGTTTGTTTGGCCGCGCCGTGTTGCGGTTTCTTGGGCAGTGTGTTTTGTTCTCTCCGTACGAGTACGCACGCAGCGACTTCAGCAACTTGTCTTGTCTCGGCTTCAGCAGTCTCGGCCGACGATGCCATCTGAGCTTCTGGCCGTCACTGCACCTGAGTGCTGATTGCCCCCAGTGGCCAGACCCGACAATGCTTGATCACGGGGCTACTTCGCCCAGATCGGTGTCTGGGGCCGGTGATGGGATCAACTTGATGTGCTGGCTTGCGCGGGATGGGTGATTGGTTGGTTTCCGTTGTTTTTGATGCTTGCGCTGCGGGTCGTGTCCCCAGGGTCTTTGCCAAGTCTCCAGGAGGTCGGTCGTTCAAGTGCACGGGGTGGTGATGATGTCGTCGTCAAGCTTGTCTGAGCAGTCCTTTCTGTCTTACATTGCCTGACTTGCGCATCATTGTTTGATTTCACGTTGTAGTTCGTGAAACTTGTGAAAGCTTTGTTCGCGTGTGCCTGACAGGACATCCTAATGTGTGATTGCTGGTGGTTCTTTGTTTCTGATGTTTGTCGCCCGTGATTTCCTGACGCGTTTCCATCTCCATGTCCATGAAAGTCACGCTGCCCCTTGCCAGGAACCATGGACAGTGTTCGAGCGGGACCCTTCGGCCAACTTTTCCGCCCGGACAACTTCGTCTTTGGTCAGACTGGGGCCGGCAACAACTGGGCGAAGGCCATCATGTGTCAACAATTGGGCTAAGGCTTTTGCATGTTGCCCCTTGCCCTCCCAGATGTTGTAGTTTACACAGTTGTGATAGATACAAAATGCAACATGCAGCTGGGCACTTAAAAAAAAGCCCCAAGCTCCTCTGAGGGCCACTACACGGAGGGTGCCGAGTTAATTGACTCGGTGCTCGACGTGGTGCGCAAGGAGGCGGAAGGCTGTGACTGCCTTCAGGGCTTTCAGCTCTGCCACTCGCTCGGCGGAGGCACCGGCGCAGGCATGGGCACGCTGCTCATCTCGAAAGTGCGCGAAGAGCGACTTGGGTTGCAACCCCGGATGTTTTCTACCCTAAACCCTAAACCCTAAACCCTAAACCCTAAACCCTAAACCCTAAACCCTAAACCCTTAAGCTTGCTCTGGAGCCAAGAGCTCGTCACCAGCCTCAAGTGCCCCAAGCTGCTCTGAGGTAGGGTTTAGGGTTTAGGGTTTAGGGTTTAGGGTTTAGGGTTTAGGGTTTAGGGTTTAGGGTTTACGGTTTAGGTACCCCGACCGCATCATGGAGACCTTCTCCGTGATCCCTTCGCCGAAGGTGTCCGACACGGTCGTTGAGCCGTACAATGCGGTTACTCGGTTGTGCTTTGGGATAATTTTTGGTTTCCCTTCTTTCCTTATAAGGGAACCTATTTATAAATGATTTTCAAAGGGTTTTAAAGCACAACTCAGGTTTTGAGCTTTCACCAGCTGGTGGAGAACTCTGACGAGTCCTTCCTGCTGGACAATGAAGCCTTGTACGACATCTGCTTCCGAACCTTGGTGGTGTGTGGAAGTCATCTTTGCCCATGGATCCGAGAGAACCCGAAGCCCTAAACCCTAAACTACAGTTATCCCTAAACCCTAAACCCTAAACCCTAAACCCTAAACCCTAAACCCTAAACCCTCAACCTTGGGGCTGCGCTTCGAGTTCAGCGGCACCCCCACAGACATCTGAGGAACCCTGAAGTTGACGACTCCCACGTATCTTTGGGGCACTTGGCAAATAGGTTTTAATTTTTGGGTACGATAATTCCTAAGAAACAGCAAAAATTGGAATTTTTGGGTACTATAATTCCTAAGAAACAGCAACAAGTTATTATTTTTGGGTTCCAAGTTCAGTATAGGTACGGGGGTACTTAAACCCTATATTGAAGAAACAAACTAGGGTTTAGGGTTTAGGTTTAGGGTTTAGGATTTAGGGTTTAGGGTTTAGGGCTTAGGGTTTCATATTATCCCAACCATGAACTAGGTACGGGGATCTGAACCACTTGGTCTCGGCGGCCATGAGCGGCGTGACCTGCTGCCTGCGCTTCCCAGGCCTCCTTTAAGGGGTTGTGAGGGTGTAGGGGTTTAGGGGTTTTAGGGGTCTTTAGGGGGTTTAGGGTTTTCAGGGATTTCAGGGGTTATAGGGGTTTTAGGGATTTTAGGGGTTTTAAAGGTTTTAGGGGTTTTAGGGGTTGAGGACAGCTGAACTGCGACTTGCGCAAGATCGCTGTGAACCTGGTGCCCTTCCCGCGCCTGCACTTCTTCATGACCGGCTTCGCGCCTCTGACCTCCCGCGGCTCCCAGCAGTACCGCGCGCTGACCGTGCCGGAGCTGACCCAGCAGATGCTGCTCGGCCGCCGTTTCAGAGCCCTTTGGAAGTCCCTAAACCCTAAACCCTAAACCCTAAACCCTAAACCCTAAACCCCTAAGCCCTAAACCCTAAACCCTTTTGAAATTGTTATGTCAAGCTGTGGGAGCTGGATGACAGAAGCCATCCCATACGACTCTGTCCGAGGTTTGATGCGAAGAACATGATGTGCGCGGCGGATCCTCGTCATGGCCGCTACCTCACAGCCGCTGCATTGTTCCGGGGCCGTATGTCCACCAAGGAGGTTGCTCGTCCATCCGAGTATGCATGCGTGAAACTCCCAATGCCCTAATCCTAGTATTCCTAGTCCATAAGCCCTAAACCCCAGTGGGTGCAGACCGTGTCATCTTGCTTCCACTCACATGCCCACAAATTTCCTCCATGGTGATGGTGGAGTGAAGACTGTGTCATCTTGCTTCACGTACAAACCTGCAGGTTGACGAGCAAATGCTCAACGTGCAAAACAAGAACTCGTCGTACTTTGTGGACTCCTGGCTGTCCATGCACTCGGTGTAGGGTAGGGCTAAGGGTTTTGGGTTTAGGGTTTAGGGCTATTCGGTTCAGGGTTTAGGGCTGAGGGTTTAGGATTGAGGGTTTAGGGTGTAGGACCCTTTTCCTCAATGGCACGCGGTAGAAGCCGTGTGCGCCCTTAGATGGCAGTGAGCTTTATATACATCAAGTACGGAAGGATCCTAGGTGCCAGGAAAAAGCTGACAAAGCTCGGAACCCTAAACCCTAAACCCTAAACCCAAAACCCAAAACCCTAAACCCTAAACCCTAAACCCCAATGTTCTTCGTCGGGAATTCGGGCTCAGGGAAGAGAGTCCCTGGGTTCCGGGTGGCCTAGCTTCCTGCTAAGAACCAGTATGTAAACCCTCAACCCTAAACCCTAAACCCTAAACCCTAAACCCTAAACCCTAAACCCTAAACCCTAAACCCGAAACCCGAGGCCCTAGGCCCGCAACCCTTCTGCGTGCAATGGACTCGGTGGTGTAGGATTTCGGTTTTTTTCGACCCGTTTTTGTGAGGAATCATGATCAAAGGCACCTATTCTTGAGGGTTTAGAGTTTTGTTGCTTTGTCGCTTAGGCGTTTTGTCTCAGGGTTTAGGGTCTTGAAATACGGGCCTTGGTTTGTGTAGGGTACTCAAGAGGGGGGCCTGAAATTCGAGAGCAGTGCGCAGCATTTATAGCCGAGCCCGAAACCCTGAGCCACAAACCGCCACAACCTCAAACTCTCAAGCCCAAGCCCCCAAACTCAGTAAACTTCACTAAACCCTCAAGCCCGTGAACCTAAACTCTGTGACTCACCGAGGAGTGGATCCCCAACAACATCAAGGCGTCGGTCTGCGACATCCCGCCCAAGGCACGCCGGAGCCGAACTTGTTTTCGGGGTTTCGGCTCAACATTCGGGAATCCTGGCAGGACCTAAGTCAAAGAACCTTCGAAGCCCACCGGAAGGGCTGGAGATGTCAGTCGCTCCGGAATTTGGAGTGGCTTTCGAGTAGTGAAGGCATGCCGAGGTTCGTGAGAGTCAGCGGGGTGAGGGGACACCCCTGGCGCCCTAAACCCTAAACCCTAAACCCTAAACCCTAAACCCTAAACCCTAAACCCTAAATCCCCTAAACCCTAAACCCTAAACCCTAAGCCTTAAACCCTAAACCCTAAACCCTAAACCCTAAACATCCCCCCAAACCTTAAACATCCCCTCCACCTGCCGGAGGGCCTCAAGATGGCGGTGGCCTTCGCTGGCAACTCCACGGCCATCCAGGAGTTCTAGGGTTTAGGGTTTAGGGTTTAGGGTTCAGCAGCTCTGGGTCGAGCAATCTCTAGTAGAGCCGCTGTCTGGACTCTAGAAAAAAACCCACCCACCCAGAGAATCCCAAAACATTAAGAAATATAAAGTTCACATTTTTCCTCAGCATCTGCTCGTATTCAGTCTGCTCGTATTCGTTCTCTCTCTGCTCGACGTCAGTCTGCTCGTATTCGTTCTCTTTCTGCTCATATTCACTCTGCTCGTGTTCGTTTTCCCCGGTGACCCTGCCTATTTTTGGCTGTCTTGTTGGTTGTGTTTGGCACACTTTAAGCTGCCTGGCTTCCACATGGTTGCTTTCCAATTAGTGCCCCGGTGACCTCGCCTCATGTTGGCTCCTGCTCGTAGGGTTTGATGCCTAGAGGCCTAGAGGTTTGTCGTATGTCCCCTCTCTTCGTGCTCGTAGGGTTTGTCGTATGTCCCTCCCTTCATGCTCGTAGGGTTTGATGAGAGGTCTACAGGTTTGTCGTACGTCCCCTCCCTTCGTGCTCTTAGATTTTGTCGTATGTCGCCTCCCTTCGTGCTCGTCGGCTTTGTCGTATGTCCCTCTTTGTCTGCTTGCAGAGAATCCCAAGAATTAAGAAACTGAGGTTTTATTTTCAGAGGTTTGTCGTATGTCCCCTCCCTTCGTGCTCGTCGGCTTTGTCGTATGTCCCTTTTCTTCTGCTTGCAGAGAATCCCAAAACATTGAGAAATGTACGGGTTTATTTTAGAGGTTTGTCGTATGTCCCCTCCCTTCGTGCTCGTAGGGTTTGACGAGAGGTCTACAGGTTTGTCGTACGCCCTCTTCCTTCGTGCTCTTAGGGTTTGTCGTAAGCCTCCCGTCGTGCTCGGAGGGTTTGTCGTATGTCCCCTCCCTTCGTGCTCGTATGGTTTGATGAAAGGTCTACAGTTTCGTCGCATGTCCCTTCCCTTCGCGCTCTCAGGGTTTGTCGTATGTCCCCTCCCTTGATGCTCGTCGGCTTTGTCGCATGTCCCTTGTCTTCGCGCTTGCTTTCCCCAGACCGAAGGTAGAACCAAAAGTGTTGGTCCGGATTGACAAAAAAACTAATTTGTTAACCTCATGTTTTGTTTTCCCCCACCCCACCCTCGAACCATTCCAGTTCGAGCCAATCCCCAACCCACCCTAGAACCAACTACGTATTCGTTCTTTCTCTGCTCGTATTTCTCTGCTCGTCTTCGTTCTGCTTGCGGGGTGGGGAAAAGTGCTAGAAGTGGTCCAGGTTGGGGGTTTCGAGCCCAGGTTGGGGGGGGGGTTGGGGGGGGTTGGGGGGGGTGGGGGGGGGTGGGGGGGGGGGGGGGGCTGTGGGGGGGGGGGGGGGTCAAGGGGGGTTCGTGGGGGGGTGGAAGGGGTGGGGGGGTGGGGGGGTGGTGGGGGGGGGTGGGGGGGGGTGGGGGGGGGGGTGGGGGGGGGAAAAAGCCGTGGCCATTGGCAAAAAAGCCGTGGCCATTGGCAAAACAAGCCGTGGCCATTGGCAAAAAAGCCGTGGCCATTGGCAAAAAAGCCGTGGCCATTGGCAAAAAAGCCGTGGCCATTGGCAACTTTCCCGTGGCCATCGGCAAATGCCACTTGCCAATGGCCACGGCTTTTTTGCCAATGGCCCCGGCCCCCATTAAGGTTGGGGGCCAACCTTAATGGGGAACGTGGCCATTGGCAAAAAAGCCGTGGCCATTGGCAAAAAGCCCGAAAAGTTGCCAATGGCCACGGCTTTTTTGCCAATGGCCACGTTCCCCATTAAGGTTGGGGGGCATTTTGTGCGAATTGGGTTTGAAAAACACATTTTGGCGACCAACCTTAATGACATTGGTGGCCATTGGCAAAAAAGCCGTGGCCATTGGCAACTTTCCCGTGGCCATTGGCGAATTTGCCAATGGCCACGGCTTTTTTG